GACTGCTGCTGTATGGGGGATGCGTCAGCTCTGGGATCCTACCAGCTACTCTCTCAGTTCTCTCCCCAAAGCCTCCTTTCCCAGTCTCTCCTCAGGCATCTCCTGCCTATTCTGCCCTCACTTTTGCTGGAGACCAGGCTAAGTGTCTGCAAATAAAATTTATTCATTGGCCCTTTAAACAACTCTTTGCATCCCCAGCCACCTGTCTCTGGCAGAGAGCAGCCCTGCCGCTTTTTGCAGCTGGCTGTTATGTGTGAACTTTTTGGGCTCTAGTGTTGTCAAATGGAGATCCCCACTTATGGTTTAGACCCCTCTCTTCTCAGGGGGATCCAGCTGGCTGTTTCAATGTCCATCTGGTGCTGCCACCGTGGGCACCCCTTCCACGTTCTTGAGTCTCTACCACATTCCTTACCAGTTAGTTTTGCTAAAGCTGATTCTTCTGTCTGTCCAAGGTTATAAAGTTCCTCTCTTGCTATTGTTCAGTTATTTGTTCCAGGTGATTTCTCCACAATTTTGTTGTAATTCTGGGTTGGTCCTGGGAGGAGGTCAGTGTGACTTCCACTCACTCATCCACCTTCTTGATTCTTCCTTTTTCTTCTTCTTCTTAAAGCAAATCCTTTAACATTTGTTGCAGTATTGATTTGGTGTTAACAAACTCCTTTAGCTTTGTCTTGTCTGGGAAGTTCATTACTTCTCCTTTGATTTTAAATGATAGCCTGCAGTGTAAAGTAGGCTTGGTTGTAGGTCCTTGCTTTTCATCCCCTTGAATATTTCATGCCACTCTCCTCTGGCCTGAAATGTTTCTGATGAGTAAGAAGATGAAAGTCTAATTGGTGCTCCCTTATAGGTAACTTTCTGCTTCTCTCTTGTAGCTGTTAGGTTTCTCTCCTCATCTTTAAGCCTTGTCATTTTAATTATGATGTGTCTCATTGTAGTCCTCTTTGGATCCAACTTGTTTTGGATTGTCTGAGTTTCCTAGACTTGTGTGACTTTTTCCTTCACCAGATTAGGGAAATTTTCTGTCATTCTTTGTTCAAATAGATTCTCAATCTCTTGTTCACTCTCTTCTCCTTCTGGTATTCCCATGATGTGGAGGTCCTTATGCTTCAATGTTGTCCAAGATGTTTCTTAAGTTCTCCTCTTTTTATTAATTTTTTTTCTTTTTGCTGCTCTGCCTGATTGTTTCTTTCTACCTTGCCTTCCAAAACACTGGTTCAATATCTGCTTCTTCTAACCTACTGTTTATTCCATCCAGTGTATTTTTATCTCAGATATTGCATTATGTTTTTTTGACCGATCCTTTTTTGTGGTTTCTCTTATCTTTTTTCATGGTGTTGATTATCCTTATAATCATTATTCTAAACTCTCTTTATTTTTTCAAATACATTTGTCTTTGCCTTCCCCCCACCACCTTCCCCTGCCCCTTCCCCCCTCTCTTCCTCAATCCTTCCCCTTTGGTTTTGTCCATGAGACCTTGCTACATGTTCCCCGACCCTCCCATTCCCTTCCTTTTCCCCTGTCCCCCGCCTCCATCCCTCTTGTCTCTGTTCATTTCTTTTCCTTTCAGTGTTGTTGGTCTTATTTCTGATAAGTGGCTTACTTCCATTTCATCTAGTTTTCTGGAAATTTTCTTGTTCTTTAATTTGGGGTCTGTTTCTTTGTCTTCCCATTTTGGCTGCTTCTTTGTGTTTTCCCCCTTTGATATTAAACTAATCAGGTTTTAAACCGATCAGTTGTCATTCTAATCAATCTGTAAGTCTGCTTAAGTCTGACTGCTTCAGAAGTGTGGGGAAGAGTAATTCCTGTGGGCTGGGATATTGCTTCCCCTCAGGCCAATGCCATTCAGAGAGGAGTGTCTGCCTGAGAGTAATGGCCCCTGCAGCATGGGGAATGACTCAGTGCATGGATCCTGGAAGCTATTCCCTCAGTTCTCTCCCAAGAGCCAGCTACCCTAGACTCTCCTCAGCCACCTCTAGCCCACTCTGCCCTCCCTTTGATGGCACCCAGAGTAATTGGCTGCAAACAAAATTTTGTGCTTTGGGTCTTTTAAAGGCTCTCTGCACCTCCAGCCGTCTCTCCCTGGTGGACAAAACCCCTGCTGCTTTTTCACAGCTTGATGTTATCTGGGTTCCTTTCTGGCTCTGGTACCATAGGCTGGGGAGCCAAGCTTGGGGTTTAGACCCCACACTTTTCAGGGGGAATCTCACTGCAGCTAAAATATCTCTGGCTTTTCAGCTGCCATCGTGGGAGCCCAGCCAACCCTCTCATGTCTCTTCCACACTCCCTACCAGTCACGTTGTGCTGAAGTGTTTTCTTCTGTCTGTCCATGGTTGTAAGGTTTCTCTCCAGCTAGTGTTAAGTTGGTTATTCAAGATGATTTGTCTACAATTTAGTTGTAATTCCAGACTGGTTCTGGAAAGAGGTTAGCATAGCTTCCACTTACTCTTCTGCTGTCTTGGATCCAAAATCAATAGGTTTGTAATTATTGCACTTTTATTATGTATTTTTTTTTACTTTTTTCCCCATCATCTTCTTCTAGAACTCCCTTGAACATTTCTTGTACTACTGGTTTGGTGTCAATGAACTCCTTTTGTTTCTCATCTCTGCTAAGCACCTTATCTCTCCTTCGATTCTAAATGATAGTGTTGCTGGGTATAAGTAATCTTGGTTGTATTTCCTTGTTTTTTCATCAGTTTGAATAATCTGTGCCCACATCTTCTGGCCAGAAAAATTTTTTGTTGGGAAATCAGCTGACAGTGTTATGGGAGCTTCCTTGTAGTTAACTGCTTTTCTTTTGCTGCTTTTAAGATTCTCAGTGTCTTTAACCTTTGCCATTTTAACTATGATGTGCCTTCATGTAGGCCTCTTTGGATTCATCTTGCTGGGGATTTTCTATCCTTCCTGGACTTGTATGTCTATTTCCTCTACCAGTTTAGAGAAGGAAGCTTTCCATCATTATTTCTTCAAATAGGTTTTCAACCTCTTGCTCTCTTTCTTCTCCTTCTGGTACCCCTATGATGCAAATGTTAACATTTGACATTGTCCAAGAGAAGAGGTCCCTTAAATGATACTCATATTTTTAAATCTTTTTGTTTTTGCTATTCCTATTAAGTGTTTTCTGCTACTTTGTCTTCAAAATCACTGATTTGATTCACTGTTTCACCTAATCTCTTGTTGATTCCATGTAATGTATTCTTCATTTCAGTTATTGTGTTCTCATTTATGACTGTTTTTAAAATGTTTTCTATCTCTTTTTGTAAGTTCTCACTGAGTTCATCTCTTTGTTCCTTAAATTCATTGAGCATCCTTATAATCACTGTTTTGAACACTGTATCTGGTAGACTGGTTACTCCATTTTGTTTAGTGCTTTTTCTGGAGTTTTGTCCTATTATTTCTTTTGTGACATGTTTCTTTGTCCCTGTTTTCTGATTGCCTCCCTGTGTTAGTTTCTATGTATTAAATGGTGGTTCTGCCACCATTTATTGGCAGGTGACCTTAGGTAGTACATGTTCTGTTGGACCCAGTGGTACAGTTCCCTTGGTCACCTGAGCTGAGAGCTGCAGGGCTGTCCCTTGTGTGGGTCATGTGCGGCCTCTGGTTTTAGTTGAGCCTTGGTTGTTGATGCATCAGTGGGTAGGATTGGTCTCCAGGCCAGCTGGCTGAGAATGATTACAATGGATGTGCTGTTATAATGGGCTGATTTCATGGAGTAGAATTTGCTTTATTGGAGTTCTGGTATCTGCTAAGTTCATCCTTTGATTGTGTCATTTTTTGAGCCAATTGGGTCATAGTCTTAATGTGATTTGAAGCTGGGCACTGGGTATATTGGCTCTAGGACCTCTCAGCAGTGTCCCTGGTGAAGACCAAGGTCAGCCAATGACTGTGCCTGGCCTACAACCACCTGGTAGGAGCTACAAGGTGATGTGAGATTGGTAGCTTCTTGTGCTGGTTGTGGAGGTGCCTGGGAGAACTATGCTGTGAAATGAGGCTGGCTGCCACTAGTACCAGGCTTAGTCCTACTCAGCAAGAGGAACAGGCCATGCCAAAACCAGCTGCTGCTTGTTTGGGGTTTGTGGACCTTTAATAGATTCCAGCTAAAGTCTGCAGTGTGGGCTGATGCCAGCCACTTGTGAGAAACAGCTGCTGAAAAATGTTCAGACCAGTGCTCAAGTTGTGTGTGGTCGGGTCTCAGGGGATCAACAGAGTAGAGTGAGCAGTGTTTGCCAGGTTGATGGATCTCAGACTTGCAACTCACCTGCACCTGCAGATTGGGTGGGAGGAAGGCCTGTACAACAACTTATGATATTTTTCAGTGGAATATGGTATTAGCCTCATTTTCTTTGTGAAGAAAGTAAGACCAAGAAAGGATGATGTGAAAACTGGTTACTGAAGGTTAGAGGTCTGGTAAGTAATAGGGTTAAACCTGGAACCCAAATCTCTAAAGCCCTTGTCCAGAGAGAGAGAGCCAGAAAGGAAATGACTGCTCCATGACTCAGCCAGGGTGCTTTATCTTTCCCTGGAATATATGAGATCTTCCATAAATAATGCTCTTGATTTGTGTCATGTAGAGTCACCTAAGTTCAGACAGGTGAGAAGAGCAATGCTATAGCACAGATATTGTAAGATTGGTAGGGCTCTGTGACACCTCACATTATACATTAGGTGGGTGTTCATATCTGCCCCAAAGAGAGAAGCAAAACCTGGTGGTAAGTCCTAGGCTCTTTTTGTTGTACTCACTCAATCTGGGAAACAAGTGGCAAAAGAGGAGGAAAGTACAGAAAAGGTGCAATGACATGGTGTTTTCATGAGCATGTGTGGTGGTGGCGGTGAACCCATAACAATGAGAAGCACAAGGACCATTAATAGCAGTATCTCTTCCAATCAGGTAGAAAATCCACTGCTTTTCGGGATCTGTATTTCTATAAAGCTGCTTTTCTTGTTAAGTATTACTTAACAGTACTTCAGTGCCAGATATTAATCTCTGAACTTTTATGTTTTAGGAGCCTCGTTGACACTGTTTATGCCTTGAAGGATGAGGTGAAAGAACTGAAACAGGTAATGAAATATAAAAGTATTTTTTTCAGATCATAACAGGACTACTCCCTTTTCCTTGTCACACACCACTAGATGCTCACAGGAAAGGTCCAGGACCAAAATGGTGAGGTGAGGATTTTTGTCTTCCTTGTGTCATCAAGGTGGGTTTTGTTGATTTTACCATGTAGCCTTCGGGTGAAACTTCTGAGGCTTGCTTATGTGCATATTTAATGATTTACAGAAGGGTCCCAAACTTGGTTACAACTTTCATGCTTCATGACATTTGTAAACAGAACTTAAGAAAAAAGTCATTTGTGAACATGTAAGTTAACCAGAATCATAAATTATAATTTGTGTGTCCTGTGCAGATGTGATCCAGTATTTTATGATGTACACATTTCCTTGTATTTGAGGACTGACTGTACCCGGTGACAGGGTAAAGGATGGGTTGGAAGTGAGAGAGACCAGATGCTGGAAGACCACTTATGAGGTTATTACAAACTCAGGGAAGACATGATGAAGTCCTGACCTAAGGCAGTGCTACTGAGGCTGCAGAGGAGGAAAACGAATATAAAGGAAGGCATATTGCAGAATTAGACCCCATGGAAAATGATGGTATAATGTTGGGATTAAGAAAGAGTCAGGGATTGAAGATGAAGTTTATTACCTTGGTATCTAGTTTGATATGGTGATGTCCTTCATGGAGATCAGCAATCACAAGAGGAAGAGAATTTGGGGGTGACATAGATAGACTTGACTTTAGGACATAATGTGTTTGGGGACTCAATACACATCTAAGGAGAAATACCAATCTGACATTGGGATCTCTGGATCCAGCTCTAATGAGACAAGATGAGGTAAGTACCAAAGAGATTTGGTAGGCTTCTTAATAGATACTTGATTTGAAAGAGAATATACACTAAACAAAAAGTATTAAATTAGCAGAGGGCGAGGGCCAGAGCCTTCAGGAATGCTTATATTTCAAGGAAGAAGGTTGCAAAAGATTCATCAGAGAGATGTAGGAAAATTAAGAGGCTGCCTTGTGTTAGGAGCTGAGGAAGAGGAGTTTGGGGAAGAAAAGTATAGTCAGTAGTGAAGGCTGCCAAGAGGATGAGCAGAAGGAACCCAGAGAAGGGGTTCCTGTGTTTAGTAATCAAGTCTTTTCCCATCATAGGAGAATAAAAGAATGAAGCAATGCCTGGAAGAAGAATTGAAATCAAGAAGGGACCTAGAAAAGTTGGTCCGGAGGCTGTTGAAGCAAACTGATGAGTGTATTCGGGCTGAGTCCAGTAGCAAGACCTCCATCCTTCCATAACATTACTGTGCACCTGGGCAGGGTGTGCCTTCAGTGCTTCTTGAAATGTCCAGCTGAATGATTTGGCTCAGTTTGCTCATTTCTTTGTTTTTTATTTTGTATTTGAGTCAGCTCCCTTCCCTCTGTTGCTTGGGTGTTTGTTGTTTTTTGGTTATTGGATGGTTGGTTACATTTTTTTCAACAGGGGTAAAAGAAAGTGGTGGTGGTAGAAGTCTCCCCAGTGTTTTTTCCATTCAGTAACAAAAGGGAAGCTAATGTAGGCAAATGACTTAAGTGGCCTTCTGATGGCCTTCAATTCATAGTGCCTCTTTAACAACAATTACCCTTTTGGAGCTGGCTACTAGCCCAAAGCAGCTGGCCATGACTTATTAAAGGTGAACTTGGCTATCTGCAACGATTTCCTGTACATGGAAGCTCCTCAATACCTAATTTACTGATGGCAAATATTTTTGAGCTATGACTAGAGTAGGGTGAAGGACAAACACATTAGCCCAGAGATCGAGCTGCCCTTCCCTGGACCATCATGTGCCACCCCTCAATACACAGTTGTTTTTTTTTTTATTACTACCTGATGTACTCTAAAAGATCAAGAAGACAGTAGAGCCCTTATTTCTTTTGTGTTGGTTTACATTTTAACTCTCTGGGTCAGAAGCTCTGATCATTCTTGCCAACACCAAATCCATTAGCAAATTGCACTGGACAGTACTTTGAGCAGCAGAGTTGACAACCTCTTCTCTGGTACATGTTAGGATTTTCCTCTAACCTTCTGCAAGTGCGCTAGTTTTTTATCTCCCCTGTGCTTTTAGCCAACCATACCAAGTGGTGTGTAAACTAGTATGTGTGTGCTTTGCTCACTTTCTAAAAATATAGACTGTGAGAAGGTACTTTATCTACATTGCATATTCAAATTGCAACTTCTCATCTTTAAAACAATTTGTCATTGAGGAGATATTGTGCCCTAGTAGACAGCTTTGATTAATTTTATTGCTCTCCCATATATGCTATCAGAAGCTGTAATGTTCATCGACCTCTAAGCATTATTTGTAGAAATGTGCTGTTGTTCCAGTTTGTATATCCAGACCAAAAAAAAAAAAAAACACACACACAAAAAAAACACACAAAAAAAGAGGTCCTCTCTAGTAGCTGTGTGCTGGTTACTAGTGAAGCTGATTATTTGGAACTAGTTTACTCAAGTTGCTCATCAAATCAAACCATTGCTTTGTAAGTATGTCAGAAATTAGAGCTGTGACAAATCATATTTAGAAGATGGTCACAGAAGAGCAGCAAACATCCAAACTCCACCCAGTTGAAAGTCAGCCAAAGGTTATCTCTCTCAAAAAGGTGGAATTTGGCTGGGTGGGGAAGATCACTGGAAAGAGAGACAAAGGGCCTGTGGACTAATCAAAGTTCTCTTCCACATATATCTGATGGGTGCCTATAATATGGGTTTTGCAAATATTGTTTAGAAACCAAACTTAAAGCTTGAACTGCTCCCCAGCTTGCTAAGTCCTTCTTCTTTCTAGTGCTTGGGGCGAGGGGGTATCAAGTTCCCATTGCTACATGGTACAGGGCTGTTGACTGCTTGCTGCACAGCAGAAACTATACTATTCAGAGGAATTGGCCTATTCCAACAGTCCAGCATCAGCCACCCACACACAGCTGTCTTTAAAAACTGAAGAGTGAAGATTTCTAGGAATTGGCTATTGTTCTGTTTTTAAGCACAGCACTATAGGTAAGCCATCCTTCACTTAAAAATTAAAATCAACACAGATCTTAGCATTTGCTCTGTCTGTGGTTAATCAATGGCTTGCAATAGATGTGCAAACTATATCCATAGGAAAAAATTTTGCAATTACAAAATATTTAAGTTGATAAGGTATAGCGTAAAATATTGAAAGGTCTTTATTTTAGAGTGATGTATATATGCATGTTTTGGGGACTTGGCCCTTCTGATGAGAGGCCCTTGGTACTCTGGGTAATGAAGCTTGTGCAGAGTGGTGTCCACACTCACACACTAACCAATAATATAAAAGGAAATGAAGCCATGTTAACCTGAGAGCAGTGTCTCCATAGTTGTGTTGTTTACAAAACTCTATAAATGGGTTTCTGTTACCCTATAATTAAATTGTTGCCCTTAGAGGCCTGTCAGTTTCTCTTCTGTCATGTTTCTTCTTACACAGGCTCAAATTTTCTAATTTGTTTTTATTTTGAAGACTTTTAAAATTAAAATTTTCAATAAATAAGAATAATAATCCTTTATAAAATTAGTGCTGTGTTTCTTTTTATATCAATTAATTAATTAATTAATTTTGTGAGCTGGTATATAGAAAGATTTCTTATAGCAGCTTACTTTTCTATTTCCCTCACCATCAGGCCTCATAACCAGCTTTGACCTTTTTTACTCAGGTAAAATGACATTTGCTCCCCAGTTTATACAAATAATACATGCCATGAGACAGAACCTTCACGCCTCTCCTTCTGGTCCCAACCTATACACTGTTTTGTACTTCTCTCCATTTTCCTTCCAATGCTAGAGAGAGATCTATTTTCCTGAACAAATTTATCCCCTGTCCCTCTTTACATTTTGCAGGATTTTGTCTATCAGTGATATCTTATATTTTTACCACAGTTGGAATGTTGGTGTCAAGAGTCAGGAAAAATATATTTGCTCGCTCTGAAGATAGATGCTCTGGATATTATCTGTTGCTACTCAGCATCCATTCCTACCCTTTTTATGTTCCCCCTGGGAGGCCACACACACACACACACACACCCCTCCCCCCAGACACACACACACACACACACACACACACACACACACACACACACACACACACACACACACACACACACACACACACCCCCCCCCCCACCTCCCCCCAGACTCCGTTGCAACTAGGTTTTGGATACAAAGTGGGTTCTGATACATTTTCAGTTCTGTCAATGATATGCTTTTGCACAATATTTAGAAGATGTAAGTTAGGCAGAGGGTATCTTCCTGGGGCTAGGTGGGTGGCTGGCAGTTCCAAGGATAAGTTTGTGGTTTCCGTACTCCACTTTCCAGTGTGTGTACTTACAGTCTTTTGAGTGAGAAACTATAGTGGTAGGAGTGCTAACAATAGAAGCAGCAGCACCTTCCAAAACTAGATTTGGATCACAACTGCAGTGATATGACTTTGAAGCCATTAGTCCAATGGCAGGCCCCTGACTTCTGTTTCTGTAGCCAACAATTTTGTAGACACCTCATACTGCTTTTCTGCTGAGATATCTTTAGTGATTTATGTTTTTTATTCTGAAGCAATGGATGTAACATTGCAACTCCTGTGTATTAGGCTCCGTACTGAGTATTTTACATCATTAAACTCATGTAATCCTCACAACCCTAGGAGGTATTCACTGTTGTTAACCCTATCTCATAAATGAACCGAGGCACAGATGTTAAACAAAATGCTAGTATGTGTGGAGCTGAAATTTGAAATCCTGGTCTGTCTGGCTATTGTATCCATGTTCTTCCTTTCTTTATCTCACTTGAAAAAGTATTTATTTCTCCTTCACTTTTTTCCTTGAATTTATTGGGGTAACATTGGTTAATAAAATTATATAGGTTTCAGATGTACAATTCTATGATACATCATCTGTATATTGTATCTTGTGTTTACCACCCAAAGTCAAGTCTCCTTCCATTACACTTTATCCCCCCTTTACTCTTTTCTACATCTGCCCACCCCCTTTCTCACTGGTAGTCACTATACTGTTGTCTGTGTTTATGAGGTACTTTTTTTTTTGGCTTAATCCCTTCACCTTCTTTACCCAGCCCCACAACCCCCCTCCTCACTGATAGCTGTCAGTCTGTTCTCTGTATCTACAGGTGTGTTTCTATTTTGTTTATTAGCTTATTTTGTTCATTAGATTCCACATATAAGTGAAATTGTATGGCATTTGTCTTTCTCTGACTGGCATATTTCATTTAGCATAATGTTCTCTAGGTCCATCCTTGCTGTCGCAAAGGATAAAGTTTCCTTCTTTTTAAGGCCAAGTAGTATTCCATTGTATAAATGTACCACAGCTATTTTAACCACTCATCTACTGATGGGCATTTAGGCTGCTTCCAAATCTTGGCTATTGTAAATAATGAAGTAATGAACATAGAGAAGCATTCTTTCAGAGTAGTGTTTCAGGTTTCTTCAGATATATTCCCAGAACTGGTATCACTGGGTCAAAAGGCATTTCCATTTTTAACTTTTTGAGGTATCTCCATACTTTTTTCCACTGTAGCTGCACCAATCTGCATTCCCACCAACAGTGCACAGGGGTTCCCTTTTCTCCACATCCTTGCCAGCACTTGTTGCTTGTTGATTTATTGATGACAACCATTCTGACAGGTGTGAGATGATCTCTCATTGTGGTTTTAACTTGCATTTCTCTGATGATTAATTATATTGAGCATCTTTTCATATGTCTATGGGCCATCTGTATGTCTTCTTTGGAGAAGTCTATATTCAGGTCATTTGCCCATTTTTTAACTGGATTGTTTGATTTTTTGTGATGAGTTGTATGAGTTTTTATAAGTTTAGATACTAACTCCTTATCAGATATATATTTGATGAATATGTTCTTCCATTCAGTGGGTTGTCTTTTAATTTTTTAATTTTTATTGTTTATTCTATTAGAGTTGTCCCAATTTTTTTTGCTTTTGCCACCCTCCACGCAGCTCACCCCTCTCTCCCACAGTCTATCTCCTCTCCGTTGTTCATGTCCATAAGTCATTGATACATGTTCTTTGACTAACCCCTTCCCCTTCATTCCTTCATTCCCCCCTCCCTTCTCCACTCATACAACTGTCAGTCTGTCCCATGTTTCCATGTCTCTGGTTATATTTTTCTCATTAGTTTAGTTTGTTCATTAGATTCCACTTGTAAGTGAGGTCATATGGCATTTGTCTTTTGCCGACTGGCTTATTTCACTTAGCATAATAGTTTCCAGTTCCATCCATGCTGTCACAAAATGTAAGAATTCCTTCTTTCTTTCTGCTGCATAGTATTCCATTGTGTAAATGTACCACAGTGTTTTAATCCACTCATCTACTGATGGACACTTGGACTGTTTCCAGAGCTTGGCTATTGTAAATAGCATTGCTGTGAACATCAAGGTGCATACGTTCTTTTGAATTGGCATTTAAGGATTCTTAGGGTAAATTCCCAGCAGTGGAATCACTGGGTAACAAGGCAGTTACATTTTTAATTTTTTTAAGGAAATATACTGTTTTCCACAGTGGCTGCACCAGTCTGCATTCCCACCAACAGTGTACTAGGGTTTTATTTTCTCCACAATCTCACCAGCACTTGTTTGTTGATTTATTAATGATGACCATTCTGATGGGTGTGAGGTCATATCTCATTGTGGTTTTCAATTTGCACCTTTCTGATGGCTAGTGATATTGAGCATCCTTTCATATGTCTATGGGCCATCTGTATGTCCTCCTTAGAGAAGTGTCTATTCAGGTCCTTTGCCCTTTTTTTAATTGGGTTGTTTGTTTTCCTTGTGTTGAGTCATATGAGTTTTTAATATATTTTGGAGATTAAACCCTTGTCAAATGTATCATTGACAAATATGTTCTCCCATACAGACGGTGCCCTTTGCATTTTGATGATGGTTTCTTTAGCCATGAAGAAGCTTTTTAATTTCATGTAGTCTCATTTGTTTAATTTTCCTTTATTAGGAGATATATCGGCAAAAAAAGTGCCACATGGGATGTCTGAAATCTTACTGCCCATGCTTTCCACTAGGACTTTTATGGTATCATGACTTATATTTAAGTTATTTATCCATTTTCAGTTCATTCTGGTGTAAGGTGTAAGTTGGTAGTCGAGTTTCATTTTTTTTGCATTTACCAGTCCAGTTTCCCAACACGATTTATTGAAGAGACAGTTTTTACTCCATTGTATGCTTGTACCCCCTTTGTCAAATATTAATTGTCCTTAGAGACATGGATTTATTTCTGGGCGCTCTATTCTGTTCTATTGATCTATATGTCTATTCTTATGCTAATAGCAGACTCTTTTGATTACAGAGGCCTTGTATGGTAGTACAGTTTAATACCAGGTATTGTGATCTCTCCAACTTTGTTCTTCTTTCTCCAGATTGCTGAGGCTATTTGGGGTCTTTTTTGGTTCCATATAAATTTTTGGAATATTTTTTCTAGATCTGAGGATCATGCCATTGGTATTTTAATAGGAATTGTGTTTAATCTATAGATTGCTTTGGGTATTATGGACATTTTAATGATGTTAATTCTTCCAATCCATGAACACAGTATATGCGTCCATTGATTTGTATCTTCCTCAATTTATTTCTTCATTGTTCTACAGTTTTCTGAGTACAGGTATTTTACATCCTTGGCTAAATTTATTCCTAGGTACTTTATCTTTCTTGTTGCTATAGCAAATGGGAGTTTTTTCCTTAGATTCTGTTTCTGATACTTCATTGTTGGTGTACAACAATGCCATCAATTTCTGAATATTGACTTTGTATCTCACTACTTTGCTGCATAGATTTTTTTGGTGGAGACTCTAGGGTTTCTATGGACACTATCCTGTTGTCTGAGAATGACAGCTTTACTTCCTCCTTTCCAATTAAGAGGGCTCTTATTTCTTTTTCTTGTCTAATTACTGTGGCTAGAAATTCCAGTACTATTTTGAATAAGAGTGATCAAAGTGAGCATTGTTGTCTTGTTCCTGATCTTAAGAGAAATGCTTTTAGTTTTTGTTCTTTGAGTATGATGTTGGCTATATGTTTCTCGTATATGGTCTCTATTATGTTGAGGTATGCTCCCTATATTCCCACTTTGCTGAGAGTTTTTTATCATAAATGGGTGCAGGATTTTATCAAATGCTTTTCAGCATCTGTTGATATGATTATGTGATTTTGTTCTTGTTTATGTGATATAGTATGTTAATTGATTTGCAAATGTTATACTATACTTGCATTTGGGATAAATTCCACTTGATCATAGTGTATGATCTGTTTAATGTATTGCTGGATCTGAGTTGTCAATTTTTGTTGAGGATTTTAGCATCAATGTTCATCAGAGATATAGGCATGTAATTTTCTTTCTTTGTTGTGTCTTTCCCTGGTGTTAGAATTAGGATAATACTGGCCTCTTAAAAAAGAGTTTGGGAGTCCTCCCTCTTCTTGACTTTTTTGGATTCGTTTGAGAGTGGTAAGTGTTAGTTCTTCTTTGAATATTTGGTAAAATTCACCTGTA